CCCCTCTGCTTATTTGTTTTTGATAATAAGACTTTAAAATAAACTTTTTTCATTTTTTAAAAAATTTTTATGTTATTGGATTATCCATTTCCAAAAGCATCTGTATCACGTGCTAAAGGTATAATAACAAATATCAACAGACATACCTGAAAGTATTTGTGGGCAGCAACAAACATGGAACACCACAGAATTAGATGGATGTCCCAGCCTCTAAATATACAATTCGTTTTATAGGTAGTAGAATGTACAGTATCTCACAAAAGTGAGTACCCCCCTCACATTTTTGTAAATATTTTATATCTTTTCATGTAACAACACTGAAGAAATGACACTCTGCTGCAATGTAAAGTAGTAAGTGTACAGCCTGTATAACAGTGTAAATTTGTTGTCCCCTCAAAATAACTCAACACACAGCCATTAATGTCTAAACCGTTGGCAACAAAAGTGAGTACATTCCTAAGTGGAAATGTCCAAATTGGGCCAATTAGCCATTTTCCCTCCCTGGTGTCATGTGACTTGTTAGTGTTACAAGGTCTCATGTGTGAATGGGGAGCAGGTGTGTTACATTTTGTGTTATCTCTCTCACACTCTCTCATACTGGTCACTGGAAGTTCAATATGGCACCTCATAGCAAAGAAGATTGGATTACTGGAACCATGTCCTGTGGTCAGATGAGACCAAGATAAACTTATTTGGTTCAGATGGTGTCAAGCGTGTGTGGAGAAGCACAAAGACAGCTGTGTCTTGCCTACAGTCAAGCATGGTTGTGGGAGTGTCATGGTCTGGGCCTGCATGAGTGCTGCCGGCACTGGGGAGCTACAGTTCATTGAGGGAACCATGAATGACAACATGTACTGTGACATTCTGAAGCAGAGCATTATCCCCTCCCTTCAGAGACTGGGCCGCAGGGCAGTATTCCAACATGATAAAAAAAAAACAAATACCACTGCCTTGCTAAAGAAGCTAAAGGGAAAGGTGATGGATTGGCAAAGCATGTCTACAGACCTAAACCCTACTAAGCATCTGTAGGGCATCCTCAAATGGAAGTTGGGGGAGCACAAGGTCTCTAACATCCACCAGCTCGGTGATGTCATAATGGAGGAGTGTAAGAGGACTCCAGTGGCAACTTGTGAAGCTCTGCCAATGAGGGTTAAGGCAGTGTTGGAATATAATAGTGGCCACAAAATATTGACACTTTGTGTCCGATTTGGACATTTGGCTGGGACATAGCAATACCAGGGTGTGGCGGAACCAGCCTCGCCACTGGGCATTGGAGAAGACTGATTGCCAGCCTCCTGCCCTGTGACTATGGCCCCATGTTGAAAGGCTGGATTTTTCCTTGCAAAGACCCGAAAGCCGGGTGATTCGGTACTTTCCCTATGTGAGCAGTGTTACCCCAGATAGCTGTGCCATGGAGCCCATTCGTATAACAAAAGACTATGTGAAAGACTTTGGCTCCATGGCAATTGAACTGTATGTATATGATCTGAGCTCCATTCAGTAATAATTTGCGCTCAGATCTAAGCTATCTGGGGATATGTTGAATGTACCCGTTTTATGCAATAGCTGCACAGTTATATATTTTTATGTATTTTATTGTATTTTGCTACCATATGGATGATGGAGTTTTGCCTCTGTCCTTGGAAATAATTAGATTACTTCCCAATTATCTCCAGGATAGAAGACTCTGTGGAACTGGTTTGGGGAAGAAAAACCATGCTTCATTTAATCAAACAGGACTTTCCCTTAACTTTTTAACCCCTGAACGGATTGCCCTGCTTTTTGAGGATGTTTATATTTCAAGTATGCTGATTAATAATATTATATATATATATATATATATATATATATATAGTTTCGTTTTTTAAGTTATAGTACATGTATAAAAACTGTATTTTTCCTGCTTGTGATATTTATATTAACCCATTGTGTGCCATAATTAGATCACAGGCAGAGGGGGGGATTTTGTGTATAATTGCTGGGAGTGTTTTCTGTAATGTACGTGTGTTATTGGTTGTTCTGTAAAACCCTGTAGGCAGTACTAAGTTTGTGGATTGGGAATAAACGAGGCTGTATGTGCCAGTACAGTCAGTTCTGCTTGACCTCAAAACGAAGTGTCATCTCGTTATTGGGGGAATTGGATTGTATGCTGATTGCCAAGAGTGTAAGCTGATTGTATGCTTTTCCTGTTCAGCTGCTTACGGCATTCATATGCTTGAGAGAATTTGTATTCTTCTCTGTTTCGGTGGTTGTGGTGTCTGCTGCAGTGCTTGGAGTCCTCAGGAAGCGCTAGGAGCATCCTTCAATGGAGGTACCTAGTCGGGGTGCCCGGTGATCTGTTACACAGGGTACTCGTTATATAGAAAAGACATGGAAGGCAAGAAAGGGGGAGGGGTGGCCCTGTATGTGAAGGATAGCATAAAATCTAGCCTAATAAAAGTTAGTGAGGCGAACATAGAGTCTGTTTGGGTTACGTTATAATTTGGTAATCACACAGTAACTCGTATAGGTGTGATTTATAGGCCCCCAGGACAAATAGAAGAATTAGATTATCTACTAGTTGAGGAAATAGCTAAAATGACAATAAAGGGGGAAGTTATCATCATGGGTGACTTCAATCTTCCTGATGTAAATTGGAAAACAAAAATAGCTACTTGTGCCAGGAGCACACATATGCTAAACTCCCTACTGGCATTGTTTCTAAAACAAGTAGTTGAGGAGCCAACTTGTAAGGAGACCATACTAGATTTAGTGTTAACAAACGGAGATTTGGTATCAGATATTACTTCAGGTAAAAGTTTAAGATCCAGTGATCATCAGTCAGTGTGTTTTAATATAAGAACTTTGACTGAGTCACACTACACAATAACAAAAGTTTTAGACTTTAGGAAACACACTTTTCTAAAATTAGAATATGTGTAAAGGAGTCATTATCAGACTGGAGCAATTTAAATGGAGTCCAAAAGAAATGGAATTATTTAAAAATTGCACTGCTGAAGGCAACAGAAAATTGCATTAGGCTTGTCAGTAGAAGCAAAAAATTCAAGAAACCACTGTGGTACTCCGCAGATGTGGCCAAAATAGTAAAAAACTAAAAGTTAGCATTTAGTAATTATAAAAAAATAAAACAGAGAGAGGAAGACAGAATGATCTATAAGATTAGGCAAAAAGAGGCTAAGCAAGTTATAAGAGCTTCCAAATCACACACAGAAGAAAAAAATAGCACAGTCAGTAACAAAGGGGACAAAACATTTTTTAGATACATAAGTGAGAAAAGGAAAATAAAACAAGGATTAGTTAGATTCAAAACAAAAGAATGAAGGTAGAAGAGGATAAAGGTCTAGCTGACTGCCTCATTTAATATTTTTGTTCAGTATTTACAGATGAAAATGAAAGAAATGGGCCTCAGTTAGGAAAAAGGACAAATGAGTAATTTGTTACATGTGAGTTTACAGAGGAAGAGGTTCTATTTCAACTCTCAAAAGTAAAGACAAATAAAATAAGTCAATGGGACCTGATGGAATACACCCAAAGTTATTAAAAGAGCTTAGTGGTGTACTAGCAAAACCATTAACAGATTTATTTAACCAATCATTGTTAACAGGAGTAGTCCCAGAAGATTGGAAGTTAGCGAATGTTGTGCCCATTTACAAGAAAGGTAATAGGGAGGAGTCGGCAACTATAGGCCAGTAAGCCTTACTTCAGTAGTGGGGAAAGTAATGGAAATCATGTTAAAGGATAGGATTGTTGAACATCTAAAAACACATGGATTTCAAGATCAGAGACAACATGGGTTTACTTCAGGGAGATCATGCCAAACTAATCTTATTGATTTTTTTGATTAGGTAACTAAAATTATAGATCAGGGTGGTGCAGTAGACATTGCTTACCTAGATTTCAGTAAGGCTTTTGACACTGTTGCACATAG